ACCCTCCTCTTCTGATCCCCGCCCCTTGAAGCCCTAACCGTCGCCCTCGTGAACCTCTGATTCCATCCAGTCCAGCACGCCTCCGACCCCCCCACGTTCCCGTCGCCCTCGTGAACCCCCGCTGGCCTCCGCCCCTGTGCCGCTCTCCTCCAACGCCGCCTTCACCCCTTCAACCGCGCTTGGATATTTCCATTGAAGGGATGGGATCCTTCTGTTTCTGAGAGCTTGAAATTATGGCAACAATTGCAGTTTTTCCTTCAATAGAGTGGCTTCTGTTTGGCATGCTATCGTCTTCCTAAGGAAATCAGACCAGACCTATTTATGTGCAACAAGCAACAGTAGCCAACAAGAGTCGGTGAAACACAGACACTAGCCTCTTGAAAAGCTTACAAGTTGATGGGCTTGGGTTTCACAGTAATAGCTAATGGGCTTTTGGATTTCTCTCAGCATTTTGGATAGTAAACTCTCAACTCAGTAATTTCTGTTAATCTCATAATTATCAGTTAATTGCATACGAATTAAATCTCTAAACTATTATCATATATTCACTGCTTAATTTATTTTGTGAGTTGACAGAATTGAATCTGTGACTGTTGAAAAATTGATATTGAATATAGAACTTGCGAAATGATATTTAATATTGTGATTAAAATATTTGAGATTGGAATTGTTCATGAGTATCGTTGCAAAATATTATTAAATCCATCTGTCGCATTAACTGCTTTAATTAATTTCCTACCGAATATCATGATTTTTTTTTGGCGAAACGGTGCTTTGTTCAAATTGAATCGCTGATTCTGATAGACCCCCTCCCCCGTTTCGCATCACCTTCTACTAGAAACTGATCGGGAAATGAAGCTTGATGTGCTCTAGTATCTTCAAGACAACATAGCTGTCTGTTCATCCTGCATCCCTGAGGTGCCAACAACATATCTATTTCCCCCATGTGAAACAACAAAGATAGCATTGTTCAGGGAACAACACATCAAGGCCTCCCTAGGTCTCTCCAGCTTGTCCATTTCCATGTGCAGAGATTAGGGTTAAGATGGCTAATCATCATCCAGAGAAATTATATTATTACATAAAGGCTGGTTTTTAAACACTAAACATTTCATGTTGCATGTATCTCAAGATTCTGCAAGATTATTATATTACATTGTTGATGTACATGTAACTAAAGAATGAACATCCCTCTAAACATATTGGGATCGCCAAAAAAAACATGTACAAGAGTTACTAGAGTTATATAGAATTAGAGGATAATTACGTGTAAATGGGTGTAACTAGTTTTCAACAGAATATTCAAGCACCAGTTGTACCCTTTCAACATTCTGCAATGATGGATAGAGGTTCTCATGCCATGTGCTAGATGAACCACCTTTTTTCTCTTCTCTCAACTTCATTTATTCCATTCTAATTACCTATATTTTAAGAAATTTATCTAGCTAAATCGCATATACACCCTTGAAGTATAGTAGCAGCAGTAGCCAGTGTTATCGAGGCGCGAGGCGTAATGCGGGGCGCAAAGACCCCTTATGCGCACCATACGCATGGCGCACAACGATGCGCGCTCCTCACTGAATTGAGGTGCATAACTCAAACTAACATTTTCCAACATAAGAAAAAAAAAGCATATAAGCAACATTGTAACATAAAAAAACTAAGAAATATAATTTCACATACTAAATCACGAAAGAGTTTTAATTAGCATGCATAACATAGAGAAGTTCATAAGTTTTCACAAATCACAATGCAAGATAATCTCTAACATAAGCAAAAGTCTATGAAACAAAACAAGCAAGTAACAAATAAGGAATATGTATTTTCATTTAAAATTGATATATGTATATTTAAGTAACAATTAAATGATTAACAAATATGATTGTTCATAATTTTCTAGTTAGCATTCTTAATTGCTATATGCTAGTTAGCATGAAAAGATGGAGAATGAAGATAACAATTACATATTTACATATTCATAATTTCTAGTTAGCATGCTAATTAGAAAAAGAAGTTATTGTTAACAAACAAGTATACTAAATTTGATGCGAAACGGGGGAGGGGGTCTATCAGAATCAGCGATTCAATTTGAACAAAGCACTGTTTCGCCAAAAAAATTCATGATATTCGGTAGGAAATTAATTAAAGCAGTTAATAAGACAGATGGATTTAATAATATTTTGCAACGATACTCCTGAATAATTCCAATCTCAAATATTTTAATCACAATATTAAATATCATTTCGCAAGTTCTATATTCAATATTAATTTTTCAACAGTCACAGATTCAGTTCTCTCAACTCACAAAATAAATTAAGCAGTGAATATATGATAATAGTTTAGAGATTTAATTTGTATGCAATTAACTGATAATTATGAGATTAACAGAAATTACTGAGTTGAGAGTTTACTATCCAAAATGCTGAGGGGGGATTAGTCACCTAGAACTTTTTAAGTAGAACTGGGATAATTGGTAAAGTGGGATAATTTTTTAACACTGGGATAATTTAGTGAAACAATGATGGGTAATTCTTAAAGTGTGATAATTTGGTAGGATAATTTGGTGGGATAATGATGGATAATATTATGAAGTTGCATAATTTGGTAGGATAATTTGGTGGGGGTAATGGTGGGTATAAAATACTATTGTTAATAATTGTATATTAAAAATAATATAATATTGATAAGCAAATTCTAGTAATAACTATAAAATATAATGCAATAAAGCATCACTATTCATCTCAAATAATAAAATAATTTACAAATAAATAAAAATCTAAATCCCTAGAGTGACTCGACTTCCATCATCCCACATGGCTTCTATCATCCCACATGGCATCTGCCATAGAATTTCTCCAAGCTCCTACAGCTGCTCGTTGAGTCTGTAACTCGTCTTCTTTATCGGAGTCATTGTCTACATCAGCAACATTTCGTGGAGCTTCTACTGGAGGATCATAAATGTCGAAGTTCAAATCTCATAACATCATAAAGAAAGAAAAATAAGTATTTTTCAGCCATTAACCATTTGGACCAATCTCATCATGATCGCTGAAACCAAATCAGCAAATAAATGAAATGTACACAGGAATCATCCATGGCCGCTAAACAGATGATCGACAGATGAATTATAAATATCCCAATCAATTTACTGAGCCGATTTAATAATAATAGATATCACCATTAACCATTCAACATCTAATCATCAATGTGATCGCAAAGTTGCTAACTTATAAAAAAAACATAAATAGCCCGCATATCTTTAGCACTAAGCCACCAACACTATATTCTTAACCTAAACCACTGTTGTGGAGAGAAAACTTAGATCAAACAAATAATAATAAAGTAATTTAACGTCAAAAAGCTATCAATAAAGTAATACATCTTGAAGATAATAATAAAAGATCTAATCATCACAAAAACAAAGTAAAGACAGAAAAATGAACGGATGATTGACTTCATGGCAGAGAAATTTTCTAGGCGGAGAAACTAACCAAGAGGGAGGGAGGTGACGTTTCACTTTTTTTTCCCCAATTGTATTCTTTCCAATGTGGGATAATTTGAGAGAGAAGAACTTATGGTTATATATATAGGTAGTATAATTTGTGGGATAATTATGACCAATTATCCCAATTCTAATTCTAGTAGAATTCTACTTGACTAACGCACCAAAAAAATAATACAGTTCTAGTTCTACAAAAGTTCTACTTGACTAACACTATAAAAAAATATCATATTTTCTAGTTCTATGTGACTAACACCTTAAAAATTTATCTCATAAATTATCCTAGTTCTAATTTTAAGTTCTAGATGACTAACCCCCCTGAGAGAAATCCAAAAGCCCATTAGCTATTACTGTGAAACCCAAGCCCATCAACTTGTAAGTTTTTCAAGAGGCTAGTGTCTGTGTTTCACCGACTCCTGTTGGCTACTGTTGCTTGCTGCACATAAAGAGGTCTGGTCTGATTTTCTTAGGAAGACGATAGCATGCCAAACAGAAGCCACTCTGTTGAAGAAAAAACTACAATTGTTGCCATAATTTCAAGCTCTCAGAGACAAAAGGATCTCATCCCTTCAATGGAAATATCCAAGCGCGGTTGAAGGGGTGAAGGCGGCGTTGGAGGAGAGCGGCACAGGGGCAGAGGCCAGCGGGGCTTCACGAGGGCGACGGGAATGTGGGGGGGTCGGAGGCGTGCTGGACTGGACGGAATCAGGGGCTCGCGAGGGCGATGGTTAGGGCTTCAAGGGGCGGGGATCAGAAGAGGAGGGTCTGGGGTTTGGTTGCGATTGGGGGGTTCTTTTGGGAGGAGCAGAGGTTGCAAGAGTAGGGGAGAGATGGGGTTGTCGGTGCTATGGAGGAGATGGAGGAGCAGGGAGAACGAAGGTTGTTGGTGATGAATAGGATTGGTTAATTTGGAGCAGCAATTTTCTTCTGACTTCTGGACAATTGACGTGGAGAAGAATACAGAACAATAAAACTGCCTAGGGTTTCACACCCTTTGGTTTCACACCCTTTGGTTTCACACCAAATTAAGCAATGCAATTTTTCATTTCATTCATCAATATCAAATCTAATTACAAATAGTGTTTAAATAGAAAACCAAATTACAGATTTTTCAATTCCCTCAAATCACTCAACTACTAAATTTGATCAAAATTCAAATTTCAAAAAGATTCAAAATTCGAAAATTAAATCCTACCAAAATAGAAAATCCCTCAAATCTCTCACAATTATTAAAATTCAAATACAAAAATAGAAATGTCATTCTTGTCCTCATCAAAATTATTAATTAATATTTCCTTTTTATAGGTTAAACATGAAAAGATGGAGAATGGATTAACAACTAGCAAGAAATAGTCAATTACATGATGTAAATATGTAAATGTAAATTATTTAAAAAAAATAGATGAAAGAGTCCATTACATGATGCATGTCAAGAGAGTATGCTACAGGGAAGTTTTAGGCCAATGCAAAATAATGACTCTTAACAAGATATGCGTACCTCCTCGAACTCCCGATCCTTCCAACCACGTTTTGCAGCTCTTCTCCTTTAGAAAAATAAACAAAAAGGAAAATAGAAAGTCAAGGTGTCAGAAAAGCACCTTTTCGATGTTACATAAAGAAAACTATAAGGAAAATTAATCACATATTTGCAGACACACTCCCATATCACAAGGTGGTTATGAGTTTAGTTATATATTTAAGAATTATTCACAAGCATCTTCACATGAACAATATGTAAAGGTTCAGTTAGCCAAATTCAACACATTCAACGTGAATGTCTTCATGAATCTGCAGACATTCAGATGTGAGTCCCATTGGAGATGTACAATTATAACATCAACAAAAATATAAATATTAACAACCGTAGTGGAAGAAACTCCGTACAATCTCCAAACTACACCAGGGAAGGCTTGGTTATGAGTAAGCATATTCTCAAATGAGATACTGTTTGTCGTTCAATAAGTATTTCAATATAAGCATTCCAAACTCTATACAGATTCTTATTTACAATTAATAAATCAGTATATCTTCAATTGAATCATGGTTCTGGTTAGCCCGTCTAAAAGTATACCAGTACAAATGTATATTTACAATCAAGTTGTTATGAAGAACTAAGCTGTCAAATTTTTATGGAATTCATATATGAAAGAATATCAAAGGCATATGTAACTTGAATGTATAGTTTTCTGGATGCCTTACAACTTTATCTAATGTGAACCTTGTCCAACATAGTCAAACCAGTCGTTGCTTGTACGCTAAGTAGCTAACAGATGTCCAAATTAAATGTAGTTAAAAACACTGAGAGCATTAAGCTTTATTAGAAGGTTGAAGCTTGATATGCAAGATTCAAAAGTTTGCTCTGAAAAAGAAATTAAACTAGGATGGGAGTTCATGTTAGCACATTTGAAATCTGATATAGATAAGAAATGCTTTAGCATAAGCATGTCGAGGTCATGGTTGTTAATTGATTGGTACACAGTTTCTGTGTTATTGATGGAAATTGATGGGAGTAAATTTTGATTCCTCAAAAAAAAAATGTATGCTGGGCATCAGCAAAGTTCCCAAGTTTGACGGGTTTTCCTGGATTTATTTATAATAATAAGGCCCAATGAAATTGTACTAGTGCTCAGTGGTCTTAGGACATATAATGTCCAGTTCCACAATACAATATCTTCCATTTGTATATATAACATGTCCTTTAATATTAACAATACATATTGTCCATTTTATTCAAGAATTTGTGCGTTGTTGTAATATTTAAATATGAAATATGAAACTTACATAGAAGCAAATTTATCTACTATACTGGCAGTATTACTACTAACCTTTCTATTTTTCTTAATAGTTTTATTTATTCACAAGAAGGTTTCCATATCAATATCCTGGATCAAGGTTATCGATAGCGGATAGCGTCGCGTAGCGGTGAGGCATCGCTAAGGCTATTTCGGGCTATTGTGGAAAAATAGCGGTAAAAAGCGCAAAGTCAAATAACGGTCTAATTTAGATATGTATAAATACTAAAAAAAGAAAAATTAAAGAAAAACCTAAGAAATCTAAAAGTACATATCGGATGATTTAAAGAGATCTTAAACATGAAATAGACATGTAACCATCACGTAATACCGAATATGACTGGAGGAGTCAAAAAGTCGTTGTCTTCAAGAAGAAGAGCTTAGCGGTGACATGACTGCCCTAAAAGGAGTTCACGGTGAAGGAGGTGAGAGGAAGTATCAAGGTAGATGCCAGAGGCTATGAGAGGTGATGGGAGTATGCTGAAAATCACAGGAGACGGTGGAATGCAATGGTCAAGGGTTGAGTTTAATTTTAAAAAATTAAGCCTCAAACCGCTTTTAAATAGCAGTCAAAAGGCAAATTTCGAATGCAATCGCTCACTATTTACCGTTATGACACACTATTGACCGCTTTTGCGAACAGACATATTCCGCAATATGTCACCGCTATTGCGCGATAGCGTAGCGGGCGATAGCGTAGCGGGCGATAGCGTCGCGGGAAGGGACCGCTAAAGCTATTAGCGTTGCTATTGCGGGGCTATTTACCGCTATTTATAACAGTGTCCTGGATAAGTTTTTTGCTTCCAGATCAGCTAATCATAATATTCTTTCCTGACTGTCAGGAATTTTCTTTTCCAGAGACCAATTACAACAGTGAGTGCACATAACTGACCTATGTGTTCTTTGATCTATATAGATTCGTAAATAAATTAAAAACAGACAAGATAGTTTAATGGAATAGCAGAAACATGAGAACTTAGTCGCATACTGAGTAGCCATTCTTAAACAACGCATGATTTTTTATGTTAAAAATGGTGTAGAGCTACAGAAAACAAATACCTTTTGGATAAACGCCTTGACAAGTTTTTTCTTGCCTGTAATGAAGATATGTTGACGGTATCTGCAAACTTAAAAGTGGAAAACCCACATTTATCTTTCCTGGTCACCTTCGGTCTTTTTTGAAGTGGTTGTCTTTCTTCTTGCAATGACAATCCATTCTCTCGTAAATGTTTGCTCATGATACTCAACTCCTCGCTGAATGCAGCACCTGTCTGATGACAAAAATAAATCTGCCTTGCCAAACAATCACAAGAGACATATATATGTGTAATATATACGCATAAAGTATAGTCTTACCTTGCTTTCTGACATCTCCTGCGAATTAGATCCTTTCGGCGTACTGTTTGAGCCAACTTCCCCTGATGAGTTTGCAAGCCCATGAGGCCTTAGTAATTTGAATTAGAATAACATGTAGCATCTTTAAAATTGCAAAGTAAAAAAGAAAAGAGATTACAAAATTTAGGTTTTCTTACATTTTTCCCCCCTCGTTTTTTACAGTTTTACTTTTTTTGTATTTTTTTTTTCCTTCTAGCCACTTGCTGCTTAGCAGTGCAACAATTCATATCATACAACCACTTAGCATAAAGTGTGTCTGATAGCATTTTAAGTAGGAACAAAATTGGCAATCAAGAGTAATTTCCACCTATACTGTTATCTTTTATGTATATCACTTCTATCAATCAACTTATAATGCTACAAACGTGCATCATAAGAAGCTATAACAACTTCAGCTTCCTTCCAAAAATCAAGAAACAATTTTGGTTTTCACCCATATTATTCAAATAATAAGGTAAATTGCAGATAACCCCTTTCATCTAAACCTACTTTGAGTAGCATTTATCATACCCCAGCAGCCCAGCTATTTAGTAGCACTTCACACTCCCTAGATTCACATTTTAAGAAGTATAAAATTGCAGATAACCCGCTTTCCCTTGTGACTCATGGGGCGCTGAATGTTACTAAAATAGTTGTGAGGAGGTGATAAGAGAGGTCATCTGCAATTTACTCAAACATAATAACTAGTAATGATAGCAACAAAAAATTTAGTTCGCATTGAAACTTGTTTAGCTACCGATAATTACTTTCTAATACAAGAATAGAGCTTGACTTTACCGGAGGATTCGCAATGTGTTGCCCTTGGACACTCAGTTACACCCTGCAAAAAAAATCTTGTGAGGGGAAAATTGCATAAATTCCAAGCCCTAGAATCTTCTTCCACGTTTCACCTTTTGGATGCGGACGTTGCTTCTCCTGTCGAGCTCTTCGCAGTATTGGTATAGTGTGGAGCGGTACTTGGCGCCTTTGTCGGGGAGCTTGTCGAGCATGCCGCTGGAGATACTGGCCGATATCCGCTTGATCTTCTCCCTCAGATCGTAGTCCGAGAACTCCGCGAAGTCGGAGACTGGGAAGGACACCGCCTTCGCCTCCTCCGTCGGAGATGGGCTGCCCAAGAATTTCGTTCCTGGTGAGGGTTAGAGGCTGTCTTGTCATTTTCTAGGGGAGAGTTGGGCAAAGAGAGGAAGCAGCGAGTACCAAAAGAGGACAAAATTTTTTATACAGGGTGCTCTATAGAAAATCTTCTTTTTAACTATTTTAATTTAACACTGGGGTTGTCATAGATTACCCTTCTCAACTTTAAAATTTTAATTGGAACCCCATAATATTTCGCACTTAAACCCCTGACATAAATACAAATAAGCATAAATTGCCATGTGTTGGGTCATTGACCTTAGCCAAATGCATTCTCGATATGCCTCATGATTGCTATTAATCCTGCATAATTTAAAGAAGTGGCAGCTAATGTTTGTTTTGTAGATCAGCATGATGTACCTGCGTCACCACATGTAAATAAATAGCCTCTTTGGGATCGACGTTGTGTGGATCAGATAAGTACTCTATATCTGCATAAGCAATTAGTTATGCTCTACATTCTTTTGAATAAAACAATCCCATATCGATTATTCCTCGAAGATATCAAAATATATGTCTAACGCCATTCCAATATTTTTGAGTTGGATAAGAACTACACATTGCTAACAAATTTACAGGCCAGGTCATGTATTTGTCAACAAGAAAAACCTATTGCACTATGATATAGTATTCAAGGACTGAGAAGCTCTTCATTATCCTTTCGAGGTTGAAAATGTATTTATTCGCATCAAGTGATAAACAACCATTAAGGTACCCAACAAATGTGTTTTATATATTCAGAATCATTATTGTATAATTTGATTGATGAATAAGCATTCTATTTGTTTAATGCTCGATCAACTAGTCATGACAAAACTTTATTTTTTTCCTATATCTTTTTTCTAAAATTCTTTATTTAAATATTCTATTGCCTTTGGAAGCTCTTCAACAGTTCCAATAATATTTAGATTTTTTTATAAAGATACATGGGCAGATAGAATTATTTTTATAACCTTCTTTCAAGGAATATTCACCAAGACGATTATACCATATTATGGAAAATTAGAGGGGGGGGGGGGTGGGTGGGGAGAGAGAATTAAATTAGAAAATTAGGATGATTCTACTAGATAACTATTTATCAGATCTAGAAATTACTACCTTTTTCATTTATTTTTAGAATTAACAAGCATAATCTATCAATCTAATTAAAAAACATAGATTGTCAAAGCATAGAATTAAAAATAATAATCCTAGAATACTACTAAGTATAGGTTATCAAAGCATAATATAACTTATCAATTATAATATTCTATTAATAATTATTTTAATTGGTTAATCTACAAATAAGTAATTTAGGCATAAAAGTTAGCGAGACTAATTCTAATAAATAATTTATACTAATTTTCTCATATCCTAATTATCTTAAGAATCTTAGCCACGCATTTTATTAAATCCTAAATTGTGAGCATATAAAGAAAGTATGAATAAAAAATAAGAAAAGAAACAAACTAATAAATAAATAAACTAACTATCCAAGCATAGAATTAAATCTACTTCTAAATAAATAAAGAAAAACTAACTAAACATGAAAATTGAACAAGCAAAGTAAAGCATGAATTAAAGGAATGAAATCTAACCTGTTTCCTAAATATGCAATTCTAATTAAATTAAAAACTAAGGATTTATGATACAAAGACCTAGGCTCTTGTGTAGACAAAAATTTCTTGTCATTGTGAGAAGGAATTTTTATTATTATTGCGAAACTAAAAATTTATAATATTTCGAAGACATACAAAAGAATGGCACTCCCATCGTCTAGAAGAGATTTTATAAAAAAATTCACATCATTCATGCTCACTCTGCACCTTGCTCCCCCTTTTTATAGGTTATAAAAATCCCTCACAACTCTTAGATTTTATTTGGCATCTAGGTAATCCTAACAGTCATATGCCATCATAAAACAATCTACTCCCTTAATTCTTTTCTTGCCCTTCAAGACTTAAGAGATGTGTTTTGTAGGCTTTGTTTCTCTTATATTTAATTCCTTTTAAGCTTTTAGTCTTCTCTTAAATGTTGATAAACACGAATATTTTCTATATTTTGACTATGTTTCACCTCCGGATTTGTTGTTTTTTGATACGATTTCCTTGCACTTTGGCTTTGTTTAGCTTCCTTGTTCCTGTTTACTGCTCTATTTATATATTATATAGGAAATACTGGAGCTTAGCACGGATTCGAAGCCAAGAAAGAGTCAAGAAATGCATGGAAAGAGGCTACACGGTCCCCAGTGTCCAACAACACAACCGTGTTGAATACAGAAGAAACGCCCAGAAAGAGCATAGCAAAACAATTAAACACGGCCAGGTCGTGTTGATCTACACAACCGTGTTGGATGTTAGCAATTAGTTATCACGCGATTTTAAGCGAAATTTGGTTTTATCTATTAACAAATCTTTCTCTAGACTATAAAGAAAGGCGTCCTGAGGTATCCGAGAGGCAGCAGAGGCTGGATTTTCTCTTTCTCTTTCTTTTTATTCTCCTCATCTCTCTAAAAACTCTTAGATTAGGATTTCTTTGATTTGGCAAGGTGCTAGTTGTGGAGATTTGTGGACAACATCTCGATTTCGACACTACGGTTTATTTTTCTAATTTATATTGTTTTCCAGTTAACAATTATGATCTTATACATTATCATCATGTCTTTTATTTCAATTATGTGTGAGTAATCATTTTTTCTACGATTGAATTAGGTTAGACTATGGTTGTGAATTAATGAAGTGATTTTTTGTTGTTATCATTAATTATTCGATTTGTATTATTTAATTACTAGTATCTGATTGCCTAGGGTTAATTCAATTGGCCACTGATTTGGCTCTTCTAGAATGTTGATTTGAACTAAAAGGTTAAGTCGACGTCGGAAAATAGTAATTGAACGGGAATTAATTGATCACGAAAGTAGGTTAATTATTCTTGGGAACGTGAGGGATTAACATGAACTTAATGGGTTTAATTCGGTTCAACGGCATGACTTTTAGTCGTCGAAAGAGACTAATAGTTATCATAGGTTAGTCGTTCTTAATGCATTGAGAGGTTTGATAACGATTAATTAATTTGTTCATTCAAACCAGAGTTGAAACCAAAATTCAATCCTAGATTCTTTTAGTTGAGTGAATTCGCTTTGATACTAGTTAGCACGTTCGTTATTGATAGTTAAGAATCATACTTTTAGCACGATTGGTTTAGATAGTCACAAAACAATGACAATCAGTAATTAAGAACGAAGTGCCTGAGGATAATTGCTACAACGATATCCGTGCACTTGCAGATTTGAGTGAACAAATGTTCTTGGGATTCTCTTAAAAATGCTTCATATGATTTGACTCAGCCTTAATGTAATTGAATATATAATAATTAAATTCGAATTTCTAGCAAAACCTGACACTTTTGGTGGAATTTCTAGAATTTATCAATCTGGATGGCTCCATCTTATCAATTGTAAAACCCAATAAATTTTGAAATGTTATGGAAAATAACATTTAATGAGTTTTTATTATGATAAATATCATTTATTAATGAATGAGTACGTTAGTAATTGATTTGAGATCGATTAAGTATGTATATAAGTGTAAACAAGTGAAAACATGCACGGGTGCACAAAACCTATAGGCAGGATGCATCTCTGGTCAGTCGACCGATGGCAAGCCATCAGTTGACCGATAAGGGTTTATCAGTCGACCAATGGCAAGCCACCGATCGACCGATGGGTGCACAAGGCAGTTTCCTAGTCTGCTTTGGTTTCGGGTCAAATTAATTTGGTTCGGGTTTGTTGGTATATATATGAGTATATATACCCGAAGTTTCTCTTTTCTTCATATTTTCACATGAACAAAAGCCACCCTTCCACCTCAAAAACCCTAGAGTTGTTTTTGTGAGTTTTGAGAGCTTTGAGAAGCAAGAATCAAGAGGAGGGCGAGGTCCGCGGCTTTGGTGAAGGAGGATCGTGCTCACCCGTGTTTGGGAGTTTCAGCATGATGTTTGAGGCGAGTTTCATCTTCTCCAAACTCATCCCTATTTTTATTTGGTTTAGTTTGGATTTGTTGGATTTCTAAACCTAGTTTATATATAAAGATCACTCCTTTTTGAACCATATGATATAAAGATCTAATTTGTTGATTTAATAAGATATAAAATGGATTTCCAGATGTGGGTTTGAGTTTTGAACGTGATTTTAACAAAAGTTTTGATTAAAGTTAGTCATTTTCATGATGATCTTACGTATATGAACGTGTTAGGGGTTTTGATTTATTTCCAAATTCATATTTGTAATTTCATACAATAGAATAAACCTTAATTTTCCTTAAACCGGTTTTAACACATGAGTTTTACTTTTTTTTTTTAAATGAATTTATGAGAATATCAGTTAAAGGCTAAAAACTGTGTTTTTACATCTCATCGGCCGACCGATCAAGGATGATCGGTCGACTGATGATTTGTTAGCAGGGTTTTGTGTTTGCTCTGATCAGTCGACCGGTCATGTACCACCAGTCGACCGATCAAGACAATTTTGTGCACGGTTATGCAAGCCATCAGTCGACCAATAGCACATGATCGGTTGACTGGTTTGGGCTACTCTGTGCATTTTAGTTTTAATTCATGTGTTTTCGTTCACACACACAAAGTATGATTCGCACATCGAGATACATACATTGTATACAGGAGTACATGGACTGGATTTGAGCATGCACAAGCGTTTAGAGGTGCGTAATTCCATATTTTAATTTGTCATGATAGATAGTGACATATATTGCATTTATGATGGTTGGATGCTTGAGTGGGTTAGTGATAATCATATTTTATTACAATTTTATATCCTCATTATCTATTTTATATGAATACATATATCACTAATAATTGTTTTGATCTTTAATTACAGGTAATGAAGAATAAATCTCAAAACTCTTATCTCTCAACAAAACCCCTTAAATAAATGAAGAAATGAAGCAAGAAGCCCAATGGGAATTTAAGAAGCCA